CAACCAGCTTCCAGCTGAAGAGGAAATTAGGAAAAGACGATGGAAATGGATAGGAAATACATTGAGGAAATCATCGAACTGCATTACGAGACAAGCGCTAACTTGGATTCCTAAAGGGAAGAGAGAAAGAGGAAGGCCAAAGAACACATTACGTTGGGAAATACAAGCGGATATGAAAGGGATGAATAAGAACTGGAAAGAGCTGGAAAGGACTGCCCAGAACAGGGTTGGATGGAGAATGCTGGTGAGCGGCCTATGCTCCTTCAAGAGGAGTAACAAGCGTAATTAATTAATTAATTAAGTAAGTAAGTAAGTAAGTAAGTAACTGTGTGAACTATCAGTAGGTTTGTCTTCTAATAACGTTCAGGATATGTAGCAAACACACTGAATTCGTTTGGCACTTCTATGCTGAATGGTATAGTTATAAGCACTTACGGCGATAATTTATCCTCGAAACATATTAATTGAGACCCGTAATTAAATTTTTCACGACGATCAGTGAGCGTTTTAGCTTCATGATCTGTAACAGTAGTGACTTTCATTTGAAACAAATATTTCTGGAGTTATTTAACGGCCCAAACATACCTTACACTTTACGCTGAGGTCGTGAATAACCTTGTACTGAGACAGTAAGTTTATATGAAACACAGATTACTAGTCTACCTTCCAACTCCAAAACTGCACCGACACCCTCAGGTGATGCATCAGTAGTGGGCACAACGTGTGCATATAGAACAGCATAACTTTGAAGCAACTTTAGTAAACTATATAAGAATGGCTCTTATTCCCCATTCCTTTTAAACTAGTTAGATTTTGAGATTTGAAATAGACAACTAGCACGATAAGAAAAATTAATTATTTAAGGGTAATAATACTGAAGTGTACCCACTAATGAATCAAGTTCTGTAGGAATTTTTGGTTATGCTGCATTTGTTAGTGAAGCTACTCGCTTCATATATATAGTGTGAAACCAGATATCAAAGAAATTTAAAATTAGGTACACGGAATCAACACTTGTTTGAATATATGGCAATATTCTTCTAAATAAGGCAAAGCAACAAAGTAATAAATCTCTAAAAATGACCTGCTTTGTTAGAACGATGAATAATAAAATCAGCTTCATAACCTTCTACAACTTAAAGATCACTAACAGAATTATTTATACCTTTTGAAATATGATTGAAGAAATACTTTAACCAAATTCAAGGGGTTTTTATTTGAATAGACTCAAAGAAGTGTTAGTCAATGTAAATATGGTTGTACGTTTATCTATGGGAATTTAAAAACAATTCACTGATATATTTATTTATATATATTTATTTCCTTTTCAGCTGTGAGCTCGTTCGTTCTCTTCCATAGTAGGTTGTTTCTGAAGGTATCTTGTGTAGACAATTGTTTACAAATACCTGTACATTTTGCCAATAATTGTTGTAGTTCTTCACATTTCAACTACGTATAATAGAACTGTTAGTTGTTGAAGATATTGAATGTTCTGACTCGAATGTTGGATTGAAGTCGTTTTGAGTTCTATATGTTCTTCAACTGTAGGAATGTTGTCTTTGTTTTACTAATCCCTGCATTCACGTCTTTATCAGATCCTCCTTCATTATCAATGATGCTGACCAGGTATGTAAATATCCCCACCTATTCCTTAGCTTCTCCATCAAGTGTGAATAATTTCGTGCTCGCTGTGTTGCATTTCAGAATCTCACGTTTTTCCTTGAGTGTGTTGAGGTCTACTGTAGTAGAGACTTCTGCTATTCTAGCTGTTTCTGCCTTCATTGGTTGCTGTGTATGGGATAGTGGAGCTAAGTCATCTGTGAAGTCCAAGTCGTTTATTTGCATCCAACCTGTCCATTGTATTCCATGCTTACCCCGAGATGTGGAGGTCTTCAAAATTCAGTCAACCACCAGAAGAAAGAGCAACGAGGAGAACAGGAAGCTTTGTGTGACTCCGCTCCTCAATTGAAATGCGTCCGTTAGCTGTTCTCCATGTACGACTCTGCTCTGTAATCCATCGTATGGATTCAGGATAACGCTGACGATCTTCTCAGGTACACCGTAGTGTCGAAGGATGTTCCATAAGGTTCTCCAATGCACACCGTTAAATGCTTTGTGATAATCAAGTAAGTTGGTGCAGAGTGACGAATCCAATCCAATTGATTGCTCGAAAATGATTCTTAGGATCGCGATGTGGTCTGTGTCCAAAAATAAAATACATGGAGAAAGAAATATGAAAAATATAGCCGTTGAATTTCGCATAACATCTAGTAATACACGCAAAATTTTAATTTGTATCTTAGTAGAGACGGGTAACACAAAGAAAAAAACATTTGAAGGTATCAGATTCTACGTAATCAAGTGATTGACATTAAACAAATGAATCATTATTTGGCAAACTCATCACAGGTTTTATCAAAAAACTTATTTCCTAAATATTATTAAAGATTATATGCGGTGAGACTATAATTTATGGACGAACGAATCAGGTATAAAAATAACAGGTCTCGGATATTAGTGCGAAATTCACACATCCATTTGGTTAAAAAGTTTTGGCGTTATAGCTGACGTCAGTTCGTGATAGAACCATAAGTCTAATCCCTAACCTTAACCACCAATCGTAAATCAAAATTCTAATTCCTCACACTGGTTTATAACCCTTATTTGATCCTAGTTATTAGGTGGACACTCTCAAGGTCACTTTCACATTGCTCAAAGGTTATCCATCAATTATAGTGTCACCAGAATAACAGTAAAAATAATCTATAAATATTTATACAAAAAAGACAAGCTTGGGATATGATACAAAAAATAGTCTGAAAAAAGATCGGTAACATTTTGCAAAACAAGCATACATAATAATAATTTGTCGAGTCACCAAACTAAGCTCTCAAAACAATAGTGAATAAAAACATTTGTCCAGTGATTACAAAATAAACTATACACTATCTACTTTATCATTTGTAAGTGATCACAGTAAATCTCGTTTCTAACTATATAGCTGTTTCATGCATATCACAAAGCACTTCACATTGAAAATATCACTCAATGATACACTACACGTTTCTTGTATATATTATGACAATTAGCTTATTTGAACAGAAATGTTGACTAATTTGTCGAATGATTGTAATTACATTCAATTGCAAAAGACATATGATAAGTGTGCATTTCACGATCATAATTATAATGGTGATGATTATTATGTTTACATTGATATGCGAATTGCATGGATTTTCACATGAAAAGTGAAACAATTATCTGAGTGGTGTGTATGAATGCTCTCAAAAGTAGTAAATCATGTCAGAGATGTGCTATAAAATGCATGTGATTGACAGACTGTCTAGCAATCATCTAGGTGATTTGAGGAGATTGTTTTAGTCGAGTGAATAACTATTCACACACCGAGAAGTAATGAACACAAGGAAATAATGTACAATGACTTTATTGGACTTTAGCACTTTTCAACAGTACACATACACACACACGAAGATTGTGTTTATCAACGAAGATGATATTGTGGGACCAACTTGTTCCCAACTACCGTTCAATTACAAGTGCAGGGTCATTCAAGTGTTTCACTTTGATGGAAATAGTCGAAACTGTTGAGAAACTATGTGATAATCAAGAATACTATATTGAGAGCTCTTATCACTGAACCAATCAGATAGCACACACTCGAGTTCCCACTGATTCAATCGTCTGATACTAAACATCCTGAAATGTGATTGACCAAACTGAACTGATCTGTTATTCGACCACACTTCCAAATGGGTGAATGGATTTCAGTAAGAAGTGAGTGTCATGTAGAATATCAATTGGCACGCTTTGAGTTCAGTTCAGTTCAATTGACTTCAATCCGATAGTTCGAAGCACAGTCTTCTACTGTACCGATTATAAGTCAGACGGCCACACACAAAATTACATGTGAGGAAATCATGTTAACAACTTGGTTGCACTCACACTTTCAATTGATTGAATTGTAATCCCACTAATATCAACTGTTTCGTGTTTGACAGTGGTGCAACTTACATCTCACAGTGGCGAAAATCAAGAAGACAGTGAGTTATAGAAATGAGCTTTCCAATTTTTTACGAGTAAATAATTCTAAACAGTCACACAAAATACTATTTTTTCGAGTCTTCTTATCAAACGTTAGATGTAAATCTGTAAAAAGTGTGGCAAATAATGAGGGCAAAGCAAATCAGATTTCATCTAATTTTGTTTAGTGTTTTTCATGAGACGACACAATTAATTGACCTTATAGTTGTTTTAATGACACCCTAAATTGATTGTTGATTGCATCTTATATCTGGTCATTTAATTATATATATAATTTTCTTCTCGCTAATCATTTCCAAAAGGTATTGTAATACGCCTTATTCTGATTATTTGTCAGTTGAGTTTGTTTGTTTAAGTTTCTTTTTATTTACATCTTCGTATGGTATGCTGTTACTATTATCCACTTGTTGGAAATTAGCTGATCTTGATTATAAAACTGACAATAAATTACTTAATATAAGTACACCTAAAGATGTAACTTACTGGTAAAATTAAAATGCAATTCATTAAGACAATCTCTTATTTAGAATATCAAGGTCACTCAAATTTTTATGTTTTAAGTGGTGATAAACAAAAATTAAAGAGGACTGATCAACCAATCACAAGCTATCATTTATTTGATGCAAAATACTATTATATATATATATATATATATATATATATATATATATATATATATATATATATATATATATATTACCAAAAGTAGCACCGTATGCAAATTATTATATGTTAGAGCTGATTATAAAGTACTGTATAATCTATGAACATTGAATTTTCAATTTTTGTATAGAAGAAAATAAACATTCATTTCAAATACATTTTTTCACATCAATAGCGCGAGTGTAAAATGTCGGCTCTAAAGAGAAACATTTGCTGTTAGAAACTGTGAAATTCTATCCAAATAGATTCAATTTACTAAAGAGGGAATTAAAATAATGCCAAAAACAAAAATAGTGGAAAGTGAACCGATTTCAGAAAATGAAGATCTATGCATTAAATATTGGTGTGATAATGGAGATAAATGGGATTTCTTTACCATGATAACAGGTTTATTATTTTTAATCATGGGATTATGTTGTTCTACTATTGAAGTTGGGTATATAATTTATACATATCGTATACAATGCTACTGTGTTGGTTTATGGTGTTCTGCAGGTTTTCTATTAATTGGTACTCTTGCTATGGGATTATATCATTATGAATCAGTTCCATCAGCATCATTAATGTTATTTTGTGTAATGTGTGACTTATTATTTGGTATAGTTATGCCACTGATCGCAATTATTTTCACAATTAATTGCGGTAAATTAAATGTTTTTTATCATCCAATCACAATGATCTGCATACTAGTTGGATTAATAAGTATTGTACATATATTTTTTGTAACAAGAGAACTGTTAAAAGTACGACGACAATTCTATCGTGAAGGATAACTCAGTGCCGAAAAATAAGCGTATTCCAAAAACCAAAAAATGAAACATTATAAAGGAAGAGTTAGGTTTCTCTGGATGATCAGAAGAGATATACACATAAGTTGTTTCTCTTTTTCAACAAAAAGCTACATATTTATTAAGAACGATGAAAAGTAAGATCTACATATGTTATTTTAATATAATGGTTGGTTCAACAAAAAGAATTTTAATATTTATAAACGTTTAGGAAGTGTTTTATACTTGATCATTTTTTAGAATAGCTTACCATCAACCAACACGTTTGAGGTGTTAAATAACGTAACCTAAACTTTTGGTACAATTAATAGCTTCCTTAGACTATCATAATGTAGTTATGATTGGAGATAACATATAACAAGTAAATTACTCTCATTAACTTGCTTAATATAATAAGTCACACTAGTTATGTGGTCAAAATCAATGTCAGTAAAGTGTATTTTACTGGATAAATATGTATAAATCAGTCATTAGTATCATTCACATCAAAGCAATGCGCCTAGGATTATTGCACTATAGCGGTTCAAGGACAAACATGTTTATAATTAATAATTTGCAATAGTACAATCTCCAATCAAAATGTTAATAACCTTATTAGAATTTTATTTTAATTATTTCATTTATATTATGAAATTTATCAGGATTTATAAATAATGATAGATTGTTAACTTTGTCTTGTAGGATAGATTTTTTTAACCCTTTAATGAAGAATATTTAGCAGATTGTCATAATTCAATGATGTTGAGATCAGATTTAGATAAACTAGTGGAGATAATTTCTAAATTATAGATAAGTAGTATGTAAAATGATCTGCATTTTTCTTCTTTAGAAGTTAGAAATTCAGGAGAACTCGATGATCGATTCATCTGAAAATGATGACCAGTGTTTATATAAAATGAGTAATCTTTATGTTAGTGTGCAGATCCTAAAATGTAACAGAATATTCCCACTGTTTATATCCATTTTATTCTCTCTTTATGACTACTGGATCAGTTTATATGTTTTCATTTAGTTTTATCATTTATTGATGAAATTAATTCTCTATATGACCACAGGAGAACAATGTTGAAATTTACATGAACAGAATTTGTGTTCAAACATTGTAAAGTAATTCTAAAGTCAAATTCAGGATTTTTAAAATATAAACAAACAGTTTTACCTAAACAAAGAAACTAAAAAGACTTCGTGTAGAATGCTGTCAATCGTTTGAAAGAAATTTACATTATAATAAATATCCACAAAACTCATTTGTATTTTCAACAATTTGATCAAAAATAAATCCCAACTTATTTCATATGAAGTGCGTTTTGGTTTGATATAACTATTGGTACCACCAAAACCTAACTATCATAATAAAGTAATGACATTCAAATATGAAAATAAGTCTAAAAACCATTCCTCTTAGTAAAATTTTCAGCGTTATACTTCCTTGAGCATCTATGACAACATCACATTTGCTGAAATACGGGTAAGAATAATATACATTTTAGATATACAAATGAATCGTAGCCAAATATTTCAACATTGATTTGTTTCATATGATTGATTTTGAGGATTTTCAAACTATTTCATTACCCAAAAAGAATTTTGTAAACATTTAGTAGCGATTAAAATAATCATACGGTACAAATAAATTGGTTTTTCACCATTTTATTATTCTCAGTAGTTTTTACTAACAGTAGTGATCCATAAAATTAAAGCGATTATATTACTGATCAACTAATTCTATGAAAAAACTATATTCATTTTTATTTAGCTTCAGTGTGAAATGAAATAGCTTACACCAAATTTTTCTGTTAGGGCTTGCCTTGTGATGCAGTTTGGTGATTTTCGTAATGTATGTCCTATCCATTTCCATCTCTTTTACCAGTAATTTAATATTAAAGCAAAGTCATCAAACCTTACAAAGAAGTAGATCATCTAAGATGAATTAAATACATTAACTGTTTAGTAATCGTAAATCATACAGACAAAAATTATTCCCTTGACTGATTACATTTTCAAGAAAACATCGATTACGAGCAACCTAGAAACACTTCGCAGGTTATGATGAAAAGTAATCTTTAACGAATGATGAAAATATTAATCAATATGAATGTTAATGGCCGGAAATACTTAACCAAGTACATATTGGTGTACTTTAATAAATACAAAAATGTAAACAAACATTTCTGTGACTCCAAGCTGCCAAGGTACGACCGAAGTTGGGAAGATTCCGCACTTTCTCTAGAAATTCTTTCATACGACCACGTATACATTTATATATATAACAACTGCTAGGGAAGTCGTGCTCACTGGTTTCTTGCGGCGGTGTTACTTACGAAGTTGAGAGGATGGAAAGCAAATATCCGGTTCTCAAACTGGGCTAGGGGTTCGGAAGGTCCACCTGGAAGGTTTGAAAAACATTGATTGCAAACCAGTAGTGTATATGGGTCCCAAGATTCTGAGGGGATAGATGGTATATAAACCTGTTCTTGGTCATAGGATCACGTGCCCTAACGTTGCTCCACTGCCTTGTAAATTATACCTCTAGATTAAAGGCTCTGAAGTGGTTCATTAAGAAAGCCGCCTACCTCACTCTAGGCATCCAGGTGGTATCCCAGCCCACACACAAATCAAAAAATGATGATAAATGAAAAAAGTTACTGTCGCTTCACTCTGCAGCCTCACAAATTATATTTGCAATAACTTGATAACATTAGTTTACATCTTTCAGTGCGTCAACTGTCTATTCATTTTCTCTCCCACTTTGTATAATCATTGACTTTTCAACTCATACAGAAGGTCGACTAAACGTCCTCAAGTTACTGATCGGTCGAAAGTTTAAAGCTACCATCGGATGGGAATTTGGGATCAACCTTTCTGAAACCACATACGCCTTTCAAACTGGCTTCCTAAACGTTTGCACGCTGATGAAAACTTGACAACATATAAGACTGTCTATGTCTTTAAAAGTTTAAATTCGATATATGTTGTTTATCCCAAGCCTCCATTCAGGGCTTTATTAAGTTACTACAAATTTATTTTACATCAATCACTTTGGGAAGCTTATTTCACGTGCGTTTGTTCGAGAAACTTGTGGCACCGTCTGGTTTTACTGGAGTTGATGTCCAACTGAGGGCTACATCTGAGGTAGTACTAATCGATAGTACACTATGATAACCCATGATTACAAACTAGAAAAGCATTCTTGAATACATTTATAAATATCATCAGTCATTTGAACCTAAATAGACACAAACAATGACATATTTGGGCATTTCAGAGTGTGATTTCCTAAATTCATAGTAGGATAAATATAAAATCTACAGTTTGGTCTTGCATATTCAAAAGAATAGAAAAGTTGGTAAACACCTTTAACTACATAAATTCACTGTAAAAACAAAATGAAAGACCATAGTTTAAAAAAATTGTGGAAACAATATACAGCGTTTTAACAAGAAATGAATATGCCATTCAAATGAGTAACCAATAAAAGAGATAGCTAAATTGTTTGACTGACATCTATTTTTTGCACGATTAAACAACGTTACGTATACAATACCACTAACCTAGTTCTATTTTGACAAAATAATTCATTATTTAACAGGTTATTTAATTAATCTAGGCCATGAATAGCATTTCAACACTGAAAGGGTTTAGAAGAACGAACAGATAAAATTTTTCCATTTTTAATTGGATATATTCAAAAAATCCTTAGTATTTCTAGATAAAAGTAAACCATATCTTGTGATTACAATATAACTAGTTATTGTGGCGGTAACGAGTCAGCCTGATTATAAACCAACAGCAATATCTATTATTTGTTAATGTAAAATATAACCAACAAAATAAAATATGAGAATAATGCAATCAACTTAAAATCCTAAACAGTTTAACGAGCTACAAAACACACAACTAGAGTGAATAAACCTTATGACAAAACTACATAGAAATAATTAGCCAGAAGAAACTTTCATATACAATTAAATGACTAGATATAAGATGCAATCAACAATCAATTTAGGGTGTCATTAAAACAACTATAAGGTCAATTAATTGTGTCGTCTCATGAAAAACACTAAACAAAATTAGATGAAATCTGATTTGCTTTGCCCTCATTATTTGCCACACTTTTTACAGATTTACATCTAACGTTTGATAAGAAGACTCGAAAAAATAGTATTTTGTGTGACTGTTTAGAATTATTTACTCGTAAAAAATTGGAAAGCTCATTTCTATAACTCACTGTCTTCTTGATTTTCGCCACTGTGAGATGTAAGTTGCACCACTGTCAAACACGAAACAGTTGATATTAGTGGGATTACAATTCAATCAATTGAAAGTGTGAGTGCAACCAAGTTGTTAACATGATTTCCTCACATGTAATTTTGTGTGTGGCCGTCTGACTTATAATCGGTACAGTAGAAGACTGTGCTTCGAACTATCGGATTGAAGTCAATTGAACTGAACTGAACTCAAAGCGTGCCAATTGATATTCTACATGACACTCACTTCTTACTGAAATCCATTCACCCATTTGGAAGTGTGGTCGAATAACAGATCAGTTCAGTTTGGTCAATCACATTTCAGGATGTTTAGTATCAGACGATTGAATCAGTGGGAACTCGAGTGTGTGCTATCTGATTGGTTCAGTGATAAGAGCTCTCAATATAGTATTCTTGATTATCACATAGTTTCTCAACAGTTTCGACTATTTCCATCAAAGTGAAACACTTGAATGACCCTGCACTTGTAATTGAACGGTAGTTGGGAACAAGTTGGTCCCACAATATCATCTTCGTTGATAAACACAATCTTCGTGTGTGTGTATGTGTACTGTTGAAAAGTGCTAAAGTCCAATAAAGTCATTGTACATTATTTCCTTGTGTTCATTACTTCTCGGTGTGTGAATAGTTATTCACTCGACTAAAACAATCTCCTCAAATCACCTAGATGATTGCTAGACAGTCTGTCAATCACATGCATTTTATAGCACATCTCTG